GGCCCTGCTCCCCCGCCCCCGCCCCTCCCCTGCCCNCCCCTGCCCCAGCCCCAGCTCCCTGGGAGAGTGTATGCGGCCAATGATAAGATCTTCATCTTCAAGAGCTGGGGAACTAGTCACACGTCACAGGAATGTTCTGAAGCTTTCTGCAAGGCCAGTTTGTTCCCCTGCAAACGGGGGCGTATAGGAAATACTTAAAAAGTAATAGAGGCGGAGGCACTCTGGGCCAGAGCAGGGTGCGGGAGGCCCCTCTGTGTCAACTGTTAACACACTGGCTGCTGCTCACGGAGCTCCCAGGAGTCCTGGGGAAGTTGGGGCGGGCAGAGGGCACTGGAGGAGCTTAGAGCTGCGAAATATTCTAGCAGCTGGTGTAGCAGTAACAGCTCATACTCAGTGTCAGCCCTTCCTATGTCCTCGTGGCACCTCCTCCAAGTTCTTGAGGCCAAAAATACAGGGTGTCCCAAAAAACTGTATACACACTTTGAATAATTATTAATTCCAATGGGTTAAACCTGAAAAAAAAGAAACATCAATTGAGCGATCAGCTTTAAAGTGTGTGTACATTTTTGGAGGACACCCTATATGTGACTAGGACAAGTCACGTGCTTCTCTTGGCCCAGTCCTCCTTTTCTGGTGAGTTTTTAAACATACTAGATACTAATCTTCTAGTTATTTCTCCTTAAGCAATGTCTGAATGGGCGTGCGACGTAAGAAAAATCTCACTGTCAGATACCCTCCAAAGCAAGTCACAGATTGAGCAGTGGCTTCTGCAGAACGTTATAAACTATGGCAATAAAGATCCCACCGAAGTCATTGGGTGGATAGTGGAGCACAGGAAACAGAGCAGAGGACTCGCCATTTACCAGAGTCATTCAATTAAACAAAGAAACCCAAAAGAGAGCTCCTCCAAGAAAATCGTTTTATGGCACATAATGAAAAACAAAACAAAACAAAACTTGTCTGCCACTTTTTTTTTTTTTTTGAATCAAAGGGCTGCTTAAAAAGATGACTGTAGAGCGCGTTCCACTTCTCCCAGATTTGCTGTGCCGAAGTGCAGAAGTGTGAGTGATGTAGAGGCACTTGTTTATTATAGAGCGCATTTCAATGCAGTAATCATAAATATTGCTAAGGTTGTGCTCTGTTGAAATATGACCTACATACTCTTGATTGTTTGTGTTACGTGATTTGTCTGACACCCATTACATTCCGGGTAATGGCAGCCATTTGTTGCTCTGCACAGCAGGCTCTTTTGACAAAAGAAAATAGGCAGCAATAAAAAAGCTATAGTCTGAATTACATTCTGCACAGAGCTGCACTGCTGAGAGTTTGTGCAAGTGTGTTAACAATGCTCTGAACTGCCTCTTGTCAGCCTTCAGCCTGTAATGGCCATCTGTCCTCCCATAAATCTGTCAAAACCTGCTAAGTTCAAGAGAGAGCACGGAATATACCTTGTACTGTCAACACCAAAATGTACACATTCCCCAGAAAATCAACACACAGGAAATAATCTGGAGGTTATGGGAGGCGTTAGCTCTGTTGGTTGAGGCTTGCGGGATGAAACGGAGGCTCTGGCGATTAGTGGGAAGATGGGCAAAAGTAGTGGTGTTAACGAATTGGTATCGACTGCCCGCCTACCGCAGGGGAAAGAAATCTGGGCAGGAGAGATGGGGTTAGAGAAAGCCAATTAGTTCGGGTGCGGCAAGGGGTCCCCCGTCCCATCAGCAGCTTGTAAGAGTTTGACACTATGTGGAAAGAAAAAACAAAGTACTTCTCACACGGTTGTTTTGCTTTGGGTCTCAACTAGCTCTGGAAATACATTTTCAATTAGGCGCCGGTGGTTGGAGGTGTTGTGTGTCTTAAGATTTCTGAGCCTTGCTTGAAGGTGCTCTCTGATTAAAGATGCTTCAGTAAACAGTAAAAAGTTTAGGGAATTATCTGAATGACTTTCCTCTACCCACCTACTCACTAATCCTAAAGTAACTTCCATCCACTAAGCAAGAATTCTTTGTTTTAACAAGTAGTGCCCACAGAAATTTACAGCCTTGATAGTTTCACTCCCAGGGTATATCTGGTTATCTCAGAGAGTTTCTGTACATTTTAAGCATATATGTAAGAAAATACACTTACTTCAAATGTTAAAGAATTGTCTCTTTATTAGAAAGAGCTGTGAAGTCCCTGGGGGGAGTCCCTGAAAGGCCAGCGGCTGGTGGAGGTGGCATCTGACACGCAGTAGGAGTTCAGGGACTGTCCGTTTGGTCACCACAGGCTGCCCCATATGTGCAGGAGGTGAAAGGCTCTGTTTTTAACTCAAAGACACTACAATCAGGGTGTTGCCACTCCCAGGAGCAACTTGAGAATCGGTTATTTAAGCGATAATGAGCTTAGGTACTAGGACAAACGTTTCAGATGTTCAAGACTAAAAAGAATTTCTATATTTAAAATCCCTAGATAGCTGAGTTATTTTTAGAACTAGTCTCTCTTTAATAGTGGCCTAATTTGGTGTTTCTGAAGTTTAGGGTTTCTTTTCATAAGTCTAGAATGTCTGTGAAAACACATAGACCTGAGTAGAAGGCAGTGCGCCATGTGGGCTCTGCAGGACAGTGGCTCTCCATGCGTGGGCTGTGAACCTTCCCATTATAATCATTTAACTGGCTTCCCAATTGATCCTTGGGCCACTGAAACGTGAGATCCACTAGCAAAGGAGGGTCTAGGAAAATGACAACAAATATGAGTACACATTTTTACCAAAAAAAAAAAGCCCAAGTGACATCCCGCTAAGAGTTTATAATCTAAGAGATAAGATATAATTCACATTCAAAAAAAGACAAGCAAGACTATATGGCTATATCTGATAAGTGCCAAGTGATTGATCCTGGCAGTCACTTATTGGAGAAGTAAAAATTACTTAATCTGGGGTGACATGAAAAGGTTTATGGAGTTAGAATTTTAGGATGTTGACTGTCATTTCCCCCAATTCAAGGGCTATGTCATTTGGAATATTTGACTGTTATTTACTCAGCAAAGAGAGATTACTCAGTGTTATTTCTTTGAGCATTTTAGCTTCCTATGAGAAATATGTGAGAACTTGTCATTTCTGTGCTGGGTATTAGCATCTTTAAATTTGCTGTTGTGGTAATTGAAGGTAGCGTGTGGTAGAAATCAGTATGATTGGGCAGTGCACACGGCAAAGAAACAAAAAAGAGAGAGAGAAGATTGACCACATAGGGATGTCTAAATTGAGTAAAAGACATTTATCCTTGAAAGAGGGAAGAAAAGAGAGTGTGCCTCAGTGACATGGATGACTCATTCGATAATGTCACCTCCTTGTTATATGTAAGCAAAGAGTGGTTGGCATACAGTAGGCTGTTAATAAAGGGAGGATTTTATGAGACTCAGATGTTTCTCTTCTTTTTGTTTGCATTTTCCCACTTTTCTGAACTTTTCTGGGAAGGATTTCCAAAGTCAAAACACATTGCATTTTTTCCCCTTTTCTCCCCTCATTAAGGGAGGATTAGCTATGCGTAATAAAAGTTGCCAAAGAGTAGTGTAAAATATTTCAGTTTAGGGAAAATATCAATTTCTTCCATCTCTTTGTTGTAAAATAAGAGAGGCAGCATCTTCCTGTTCATACCAAAATTTCATGTGGCTTTCTGTGACCTACTTGGTTCTCTCTCTATAAATAAATATATATATGTATTTTTTTTCCCCCCCAGCAAGCTGAGATTTCTCTGCCTTTCCTTGAAACGTGCAGTTGCCTTGAGTCTAACCCCAGGCTTGTTAGCAGACGTGAAGTTCTTTTTTGCTGAATAGCATTCACCCATCCTCCTAAATAGAAAGTGTATTGTAAACTAAAATGTTCCCTTGTAAGCATAAAGTCATTTGAACTCCAGCCTTCCCTCCTTCAAAGTTCCCTGCACTCAGAAGCCATGTCACAATTACTCTTGCTCCGTCTGAGGGGATGGGTGAGTAGCAGCACCTACTCAGGGCGACGCTTCGTGGAGGCAACTGCTCTTCGCGCACACTCCTCGGGGACTGCTGATGGGATTTTCTGCCCTTCCGTAGAAAACCACAAAAGGCAACAAACGACTGATGGGTTTTCCCTCTTTTTTTTAATTTGAATTCTTTTTTAATTACTTAGTTGCTGAAGCTTGGGTTCCTTTCAGTCCTTCAGCCTCATAACCTGCCCTAATGTTGAGCTCTAATAAAACAGTCCCCTGTCACTGCAATAATTCATGTATCTGTTCACTTCGGTTTCTGCTGTGGAACCATATTTTAGACAGAATGTATTAGTTATGCCTACAAGAATGCATTATACCTACATTAGCCACGGTTTACTAAGTTAATGAACTGTGGAGACAAAGAATTGTTGCCATCGAGTTGTAGAGTCGTCTAGTTCCCTGCATTCGTTTGTCAGATTTTACTGAACTCTCTTCGACGTTGCCTGTGTTATCCCCAAAGTTGCCATCATCCCACCTATTTTTTTTTTTTAAGTTTCCTAATTCTTTGGCTTCAAGGGTAGATTTCCTGGATTGGACAAAAATCCCTGAGCCACTTGTACCCTCCACAGCGTACAGACTAGTTCTTTGCAGACTAAAGCTACCAAAGCTGCTCTGTGATTCCCCCTGAGCCCACAGCATTCATTTTCCATAACACAGACCACACGATGCCCTTGAAAATCTGGCCTTTGATGATGCCTGGTGCTGTGGAGGCAGGAGGGATGCATTAGTGTTTTCTGGAAAGCAGGTCTGTTAGCACTGGTGTTTGAAACAAAACATCCCGACTCACACGCTGCCTGGCATGGTTGACCTGTCTTTTCCTGGTGACAGGGGCTTAGGGAGGAGAGAGTCACTTTTTTCAGGTATTGTCATGAATTTCCTTCTCTTTCATTCAGTTTGTACCATTGTCTGAAATCTTGGAAAAGTTAAAAAAAAGTATCCTGGCATTTATTATCTCTGTCTTCTCTCTTTTTCTCCCCACCTCTCTTTTTCTTTTTGCCTTAGGCCTAACTCCACCCACAACTCCTCCTCATAAAGCCAACCAAGACAACCCTTTCAGGGCTTCTCCAAAACTGAAGTCCTCTTGCAAGACTGTGGTACCTCCGCCACCCAAGAAGCCCCGGTACAGCGAGTGTCCTGGTACCCAAGGCAACAACTCCACCAAGAAAGGGCCCGAGCAGTCTGAGTTGTACGCACAACTCAGCAAGACCTCAGTGCTCCCCAGTGGACACGAGGATAGGAAGGCCAAGCGGCCCAGTCTACGGCTGTTTGGCGACCATGACTATTGTCAGTCACTCAATTCCAAAACGGAAATACTCATCAATATATCACAGGAGCTCCAAGACTCTAGACAACTAGAATATAAAGATGCTTCTGCCAGTTGGCAGGGGCAGATTTGTTGCTCCACAGATTCAGACAAGTGCTGCCTGAGAGAGACCCTGCAGGTGAGCAAGCAGGTCTCTCCCTGCAGCACCAGGAAACAGCTCCAAGACCAGGAGATCCGCGCCGAGCTGAACAAGCACTTCGGTCATCCCAGTCAAGCTGTTTTCGACGACGAAGCAGACAAGACCAGTGAACTGAGGGACAGTGATTTCAGTAACGAACAGTTCTCCAAACTACCTATGTTTATCAATTCAGGACTAGCCATGGATGGCCTGTTCGATGAAAGTGAAGATGAAAGTGAAAAGCTGAACTACCCTTGGGACGGCACGCAGTCCTATTCGTTGTTCGACGTGTCCCCTTCCTGCTCTTCTTTTAACTCTCCATGTAGAGATTCCGTGTCACCACCCAAATCCTTATTTTCTCAAAGACCCCAAAGGATGCGCTCTCGTTCAAGGTCCTTTTCTCGACACAGGTCATGTTCCCGATCACCATATTCCAGGTCAAGATCAAGGTCCCCAGGCAGTAGATCCTCTTCAAGGTAAAGCTGGTCTAAATCCACCCAGAGCATAAGGCATTTCCAGAAAGTAAAAAACCCAACAAAACAAAAACAAAACAGCCCCCCCCCCCCAAAAAA